CACAGTCTGTACTGGGGCACCATGTCACTACACACAGCCTGTACTGGGGCACCATGTCACTACACACAGTCTGTACTTGAGCACCATGTCACTACACACAGTCTGTACTGGGGCACCATGTCACTACACACAATCTGTACTGGGGCACCATGTCACTACACACAGTCTGTACTGGGGCACCATGTCACTACACACAGTCTGTACTGGGGCACCATGTCACTACACACAGTCTGTACCGGGGCACCATGTCACTACACACAGTCTGTACTGGGGCACCATGTCACTACACACAGTCTGTACTGGGGCACCATGTCACTACACACAGCCTGTGATGGGGCTCCATGTCACTACACACAGTCTGTACTGGGGCACCATGTCACAACACACAGCCTGTACTGGGGCACCATGTCACTACACACAGTCTGTACTGGGGCACCATGTCACTACACACAGCCTGTACTGGGGCACCATGTCACTACACACAGTCTGTACTGGGGCACCATGTCACTACACACAGTCTGTACTGGGGCACCATGTCACTACACACAGTCTGTACTGGGGCACCATGTCACAACACACAGCCTGTACTGGGGCACCATGTCACAACACACAGCCTGTACTGGGGCACCATGTCACTACACACAGTCTGTACTGGGGCACCATGTCACTACACACAGTCTGTACTGGGGCACCATGTCACTACACACAGTCTGTACTGGGGCACCATGTCACTACACAGTCTGTACTGGGGCACCATGCACAACACACAGTCTGTACTGGGACACCATGTCACTACACACAGCCTGTACTGGGACACCATGTCACTACACACAGTCTGTACTGGGGCACCATGTCACTACACACAGTCTGTACTGGAGCACCATGTCACTACACACAGCCTGTACTGGGACACCATGTCACTACACACAGTCTGTACTGGGACACCATGTCACTACACACAGTCTGTACTGGAGCACCATGTCACTACACACAGCCTGTACTGGGACACCATGTCACAACACACAGCCTGTACTGGGGCACCATGTCACTACACACAGCCTGTACTGGGGCACCATGTCACTACACACAGTCTGTACTGGGGCACCATGTCACTACACACAGTCTGTACTGGGGCACCATGTCACTACACACAGCCTGTACTGGGGCACCATGTCACTACACACAGTCTGTACTGGGGCACCATGTCACTACACACAGTCTGTACTGGGGCACCATGTCACTACACACAGTCTGTACTGGGGCACCATGTCACAACACACAGCCTGTACTGGGGCACCATGTCACAACACACAGCCTGTACTGGGGCACCATGTCACTACACACAGTCTGTACTGGGGCACCATGTCACTACACACAGTCTGTACTGGGGCACCATGTCACTACACAGTCTGTACTGGGGCACCATGCACAACACACAGTCTGTACTGGGACACCATGTCACTACACACAGCCTGTACTAGGACACCATGTCACTACACAGTCTGTACTGGGGCACCATGCACAACACACAGTCTGTACTGGGACACCATGTCACTACACACAGCCTGTACTGGGACACCATGTCACTACACAGTCTGTACTGGGGCACCATGCACAACACACAGTCTGTACTGGGGCACCATGTCACTACACACAGTCTGTACTGGGGCACCATGTCACTACACACAGTCTGTACTGGAGCACCATGTCACTACACACAGCCTGTACTGGGACACCATGTCACTACACACAGTCTGTACTGGGACACCATGTCACTACACACAGCCTGTACTGGGGCACCATGTCACTACACACAGCCTGTACTGGGGCACCATGTCACTACACACAGTCTGTACTGGGGCACCATGTCACTACACACAGCCTGTACTGGGGCACCATGTCACTACACACAGTCTGTACTGGGGCACCATATCACTACACACAGTCTGTACTGGGACACCATGTCACTACACACAGTCTGTACTGGGGCACCATGTCACTACACACAGTCTGTACTGGGGCACCATGTCACTACACACAGTCTGTACTGGGGCACCATGTCACTACACACAGTCTGTACTGGGACACCATGTCACTACACACAGTCTGTACTGGGGCACCATGTCACTACACACAGCCTGTACTGGGGCACCATGTCACAACACACAGCCTGTACTGGGGCACCATGTCACTACACACAGTCTGTACTGGGGCACCATGTCACTACACACAGTCTGTACTGGGGCACCATGTCACTACACACAGTCTGTACTGGGACACCATGTCACTACACACAGTCTGTACTGGGGCACCATGTCACTACACACAGCCTGTACTGGGGCACCATGTCACAACACACAGCCTGTACTGGGGCACCATGTCACTACACACAGTCTGTACTGGGGCACCATGTCACTTTACACAGCCTGTACTGGGGCACCATGTCACTACACACAGTCTGTACCGGGGCACCATGTCACTACACACAGTCTGTACTGGGGCACCATGTCACTACACACAGCCTGTACTGGGGCACCATGTCACTACACACAGTCTGTACTGGGGCACCATGTCACTACACACAGTCTGTACTGGGGCACCATGTCACTACACACAGCCTGTACTGGGGCACCATGTCACTACACACAGTCTGTACTGGTTGTGATGGGGCCACCATGTCACTACACAAAGTCACGATAGATCATCCAAATGCAATAATTCAAACTCAAAATTTCATTTGTTCACATATTTGAAACAAGAGGCCCATCGGGCCTGTATCACTTACCTGGATATTTACGCAATCATGACAAAATATACATTGCATTATACATGCATATAATACTGCAAATATTTCGTAATTTCGACTCTGTCAGCATATAAAAGGGGTGGATGGCAAATCTTGACAGCATGAACATGTATTTCTCTACATACAAATGTAGAATGAAGATCCAAACCGTTTCCATGTTATGATACAGGATAAATCATATTAAAGGTATTATTCTCTTCATAACAAACAAATGTATACAATGAACTCTTAATTGTACATATGGTTATACGGTGGGGATCTTAACTGTGTCCAAGTTATAAACTCTTTTTGTTTCAGCCCCCCGGGGCTGGGGCTGGGGGTGTGGTTCAGCCCCTCCATTTCTCCAATTTGAACCCCCACCATTGGAGAATGCTTTCAACCAAATATGGTTGATATCTATCTCTTAGTTCCAGAGAGGAAGTCGTTTAAAGCAAAAACACCAAATGACCCCTATTTCACTCTGTCCCTCAGCCCCTTAGGGAGGGTTGTCAGCCCCACCATTTGTACAACTTTGAAACCTCACCACCGGAGAATGCTTCCAACCAAATATGGTTGATATCTATCTCTTAGTTCCAAAGATGATCTCGTTTAAAGCAATATAGCCAAATTACCCCTATTTGGTCCCGCCCCTCAGTCCCCTTGGGATCAGCGCTACCTGTTGTAAGATTTTGAATCCCCTTCACGTAGGGATGCTTCCAGTAAAATTTCGTTAATTTCCAGTAAGTAGTTCAGAAGAAGAAGAAGTTGTTTGAATAAATTGTTGACGTACGGACGATGGACGCCACGGTATAGCATAAATTCACCTTGGTCCTTCGGTGAGCTAATAATAATAAAACCAGTGTGATAGATGGTATACAAACCTGCAAACAAAGTAATATCTACACCATGGAGAGACTCACTGGAACACACTGATACATACAAGCATGGAGGATCATAATTATAAAAAGGTAATGTTCAAATGACATCTTCAATATGGTCGACTTCGTGGCCATGCAAGATTAATATCCTATGCAGAAACTTTCACATTCATAAACCCAGTGTTGATAGAACAATAGATCCATGGGTGTATCATAAACACAGTGTTGATGGAACAATAGATCCATGGGTGTATCATAAACACAGTGTTTATGGAACAATAGATCCATGGGTGTATCATAAACACAGTGTTGATGGAACAATAGATCCATGGGTGTATCATAAACCAAGTGTTTATACAACAATACATCCATGGGTGTATCATAAACACAGTGTTTATGGAACAATAGATCCATGGGTGTATCATAAACACAGTGTTGATACAACAATAGATTCATGGGTGTATCATAAACCCAGTGTTTATGGAACAATAGATCCATGGGTGTATCATAAACCCAGTGTTGATGGAACAATAGATCCATGGGTGTATCATAAACCCAGTGTTTATGGAACAATAGATCCATGGGTGTATCATAAACACAGTGTTTATGGAACAATAGATCCATGGGTGTATCATAAACACAGTGTTTATGGAACAATAGATCCATTGGTGTATCTTAAACACAGCGTTTATGGAACAATAGATCCATTGGTGTATCTTAAACACAGTGTTTATGGAACAATAGATCCATGGGTGTATCATAAACCCAGTGTTTATGGAACAATAGATCCATGGGTGTATCATAAACACAGTGTTTATGGAACAATAGATCCATTGGTGTATCATAAACACAGTGTTGATGGAACAATAGATCCATGGGTGTATCATAAACCCAGTGTTTATACAACAATAGATCCATGGGTGCATCATAAACCCAGTAATTATACAACAATAGATCCATGGGTGCATCATAAACCCAGTGTTTATACAACAATAGATCCATGGGTGCATCATAAACCCAGTGTTTATACAACAATAGATCCATGGGTGTATCATAAACCCAGTGTTTATACAACAATAGATCCATGGGTGCATCATAAACCCAGTGTTTATGGAACAATAGATCCATGGGTGTGTGTGAAGGTCCTAACAGGTTCAATCTCCATGTCTGCCATTAAGCACTGCAAGCACATACCTGTCATGACTTGTGGTATGATTCAAGTGAGTTTACAGGTGGAGATTTTTTTTCTTTCTTTCAGACTGGATTGATTATCTGTTGACAAACCTTTTGGTGATTTGACAAAGAAGTGTAAAACAAATATCCAACACTCTACTCACCTCATAAACTGTCGACTTTGTTGGTTATGTGTGTTTTCTGAACCTGCATAAAAGAAAGAGAAACTAAACAAATCGTCAATACGAATCTTGCTGCCATGCAGATCTCTTCTTTTTGTTAAAAAATTGGTAAAAATTTCAAACTGGTGACTGTGAACTGCTATTCCATTTCTTGTAGTGTCTCCCTATATGGAATACTTTTGAAGTCCATTCCCACTATATCATGTTTTTTCTGTGTCTATGTCACAAGCAGATATATCACTGTCCCTTATTACCTTATAATAACGTGATGATCATATATCATCCTCACAGATAACACACGATCCTGTACTACAGATTCTCTTCAGTGATGCACAAAATCCCATTTCCAAATACAGCATAGTGTTGATATCAAAGCCAGTAATAAAGTGTGATCTTTCAACCATGACCTCCTCCCATCCCGACAGCGCCATCTAGCAGCAATCAATCACAACTGTCCAATGACCCATCACTGCCGCAATATTTATTGAAATCGACAAGACTGGCCGCCACAACTACAAAGGTGTATTTCAGAGAAAATTGCATTTTCCCATCAATTACAGCAAACTTCTTTCTTCCTTGCATTTTGATGTGACAAGTGTCATATTGTCTGCAGTAACTAAACTAATATTGCCCATGTGACATGTACATAAAAAAGGCCTCTTTCTCCATGTTAAAAACTTAATTGTGACAGGATTATATCTTTATTTCGAACAAGAGATAAAATTTCCTGGAATAATTGAGTCTATTACTTGGATTATGTTGTCAAAAATCTCCTAAGATATGCATTTTTTACATTCATCTTTATCTAAGACAGTTTTTGGGTCCACCATTACACACCAACTGAGACTGATTTACAGATAAATGTCACATGATATTTTTTTCTATACTTTTTAAATGTCCAGTTGATGATTTGCACATTGATAGCGTCAAATGACTCATTGCAATTTGTAAAAAAGTGCACATAAATAAAAATCAGTGAAACCAGACATTTTCTTTAACATGTACTGACACCTAGGAACTTTTTGTCTGATAAACATATCAGTGTATTACCATTATGATGCCTTGGTATTGAGAAGTTATCTTGCCTTGAAAGCGGCAGCTATTGAAACCAGGGTGATGGCGCCTCTATGAGCTGTCCCACATGTGTTGCTCAGTTTAGTGAAGGTAACAATGCCCAGCTTTATCCCTGCCTAATGCCAGTATAGCGTCCCAATGGGGATGCCTCCTAGTAAAACAAGAAAATTAAGCTGAGGTCAAGACAAAGAAACACTCACTTAGGGATGAATTTCCCACAAAATAAATTGATTAAATATGAAAATAAGAGAGTTTGATGAAATAGGAGTTTAAGAGTTCTATTATTATTTCAAGATGATCTTACTTATTAAGTTAGTAAAACCTAAAACTATTTTTCATTATGCAAAGATAATCTTGTTATTTGTCATATGTAAACATTTTGAACTCAAAATTTATTGATTTATTTTTTACATGAGATTTCAATGAAGTCAGCATAATTACAGTACAGAGGCCAGCCAGCATGAGAGTGATGTGTTGGTTACAAGTGTGTGTGCCAGTGTGCAACCCTGCATATAGCTAACACACATGGCCTGCGGTAATGGTGAATGCCAGACACATTTCACTTTTCCACATCATATTTTTGGAAGGTCGAGTTGCTGCCGCCAAGATAAACTATATACAACTATAACATGTGATGATGTTAAACCTCCTCTGCAAGTGTTCATCAGTTAGGCAACATAGGAAAAACAGGGTGAGAGGTGCTTTAAGGGTGCCTCCATTAACATGTAACAGAAACACAATACAAAATACCACCAAGGGAAATGAATGTCATACAAAGTGAAGTGAGTCAAGAGAAGACACTGTGATCTCAATGTAATATTCTTCACACTGTCAACACATTTTACACGGGTAACACTGCCATAAGTCAGTTTCTGAGATTTGTTTCCACAACATCAACAACAAAATTGACCAAAGTTGAGTGGAGATGAAGATGCTTAAAGGAATCATTATCATCTACTCAGGTAAGAGTTCAAACACTGTGACAGGGTTAAAACATGTGATTCTCCTTTCAATCTTCAAAAAGTTGATTCCTCAATGTTGATGCAATGATCTTAATCCAATGGTACTGATACTTATGTCCATCCCAAACATCAGCCTCAGGGCATGTTGGTGCGTAATCATATTCTGTAAATATAAATAAGATTTTCAATTCCATGCTTAACCAAAGTCACAGTATGGCCGACCATGTTTTCATAAAGGTTCATCTCTCTGCATGGACCTTGTGGCTTCTCAGAGAGAAAGAAGACTTTTAAAGATGTTGGTTGTTGTTCCAGTCTGTGGCATGACCAGATGTGAATGCTAGTGCACTGATACACATCACATCAATCTTCAACATTTCTTTAGCTTGTGATTTCTTTCAAGATTCTTAAAGACTTTTCAAAAGTTCAAGTTTCTAATATTTGCTACTTAGAAAAAGGACTAACAATTAGACCAACATAGTCGACTATTCTTGTTGTAAGAGGCGACTAACAGGATGGGGTGTTCAGGCTTACTGACTTGGTTGATGCATGTCATCGTTTCCCAATTGTATAGATCGATGCTCATGATATCAATCACTGGATTGTCTGCTCCAGACTCGATTATTTACAGACTGCCGTCATGTTGCTGTAATATTGTTGAAACAAACAAACATAATATGTTAGGATACATACTGACAAGAGAGTTATCAAAATGACATAATAATGAGATCACATGTTTCCCTGTGTGCTAATGTTACTATACAAAATGTGGTTTAGAGAGTGTGTCAGTTTAATGTCAAGTGTGATCCAATAAGTAGGACATCATTTATAGATTATGGATATCCTAGGTTTTAAAGACAGGTGTCTACTGGGTGTATGCTCCTTGCCGGGGACATTTCCAGTTTGTCAGTACAGAGGCTTAACAAGTTGCTGTTTAAAATCAGAACTTAGTTGTAAAAAGATCCCTCACTGACTTCCTTCTCTTCATATACATACATTCTATGATAAAAATATTATGTCACACTGTTGAAAACAGCATTGAATAATCTGTACGTAACTATGATTCCACTGTGATACCTGTGTCACTCCGTTGTAATCAGATCAGAACAAGTGTCATCACTCCTCAAGGCATGCAGTCTATGCTGGTCTCGCATCTTTACACATGGCAACATCTCCCTCATCCCCCTTGTGTGTCAACACCAGCAGAATACAACACCATGCATGTTTAACATGGCTACAAGCTTCAACTCATTCACAGTCACTGTACTTGTCTTCCAAGGTGAAAACATACCATTAATATTCTTCCGTATAACCATATCATTAATGTATAACTTGTTTCAGGTACGATATTGGTGAAATACTGCCGATGGGACTATAAATCTTAACTCACTCACTCACTGTACATTCTACAACATCCTTAAACCAAATTAAAATTTGAAGAAATTGAGAGTCATGTAAAAGAAATAGAAGATGGACCAGGCCAACTCAATAAGGACTAACACCCCCAAGCTGTGGAAGGACACACATCCCATTGATCGGTCGAGGATCACTGATATATTATACAGCATACATAAGTGTTAATTCACTCTCACCAACAATGCTTTTTTTTATTAATCAACAAGAAAAATAGTGAGCAGGGATCACTAATACCCCTGACTTCAACTCTGACACATTTCGACTCCAACTTATTTCAAGTTCAAACATGTAAAAAGCAATAATTCTCAGAATAATTCTATTGAAATCCAGCTTTGCATTGCACTTCTACTATCAGTATAGAAACTTTTCTCAAAATTTGAAAAGAATCTATGAAGTAGTTTTCAAGGTATAGGTAGCAAAAATGTTTTGGCAAAAAACATTGGAAAAGAATCCTTGAAGTAGTTTTCAGGTTAAAGGTGACACAAATTTTGAAGTAACATGAAAAATATATTTTTTCAGAAAATACACATGTCAAAATCAAACTTTGCACTGCACCTCTTCTATTAGTATGGAAACTGTTCCCTAAGTTTAAAAATAATCCAAGCAGTAGTTTTCAAGTTATAGGTCGCACAAATGTTTCAGTAAAATAATTGTAAGTAAAAAATTGAAAAACAGCTGTATTTTTTCAGAAAATCTAAATATTGAAATCAAACTTCGCACTGCACTTGAATAATAGGTATAAAAAGTGTTCACCAAGATTGAAAGAATCTTTGCAGTAGTTGTCAAGTTATAGGTGACAAAAAATGTCCTCGTATGGACGGACAGAAAGATGGAATTCCTTGGCATATCTATATATACCCACACCCTTTAGGTCCGGGGGACAAAAAACTACCGGTGGATGTAATTTCCCACCCATATAGAACCTCTTGTACCAGTACAACAGCTGGGAAACAGCTGATCATCTCTAGGCCTTTAACACAGCTAAGTCTAAGATCACGCTAATTTAGCATTAAGTCATTCTGTAATACACTGATCTTTACGTGAAACCGACCTACTGTGGCTAAATTAGTCCTGGTACAAGGGACGTTGTAAAAACCTGGCCGGAAGGATGCACCAACCATCAGGTCCCCACACTCAGAGTAATGGCCTCTGTTTATGGAGGAGATGGTGGGTTTAGCGACTACTTACACAAATCACTGGTTTCATACATAGCCTCTTCACGGAGGCTAGGACACAGTGAGACACCAGTCTATATATGTGGGTACAGGGAGACACTAGTCTATATATGTGGGTACAGGGAGACACCAGTCTATATCTGGGTACAGGGAGACACCAGTCTATATATGTGGGTACAGGGAGACACCAGTCTGGGTACAGGGAGACACCAGTCTATATCTGGGTACAGGGAGACACTAGTCTATATATCTGGGTACAGGGAGACACCAGTCTATATCTGGGTACAGGGAGACACCAGTCTATATATGTGGGTACAGGGAGACACCAGTCTATATCTGGTTTCAGGGAGACACCAGTCTGGGTACAGGGAGACACCAGTCTATATCTGGGTACAGGGAGACACCAGTCTATATCTGGGTACAGGGAGACACCAGTCTATATCTGGGTACAGGGAGACACCAGTCTATATCTGGGTACAGTGAGACACCAGTCTGGATACAGGGAGACACCAGTCTACATCTGGGTACAGGGAGACACCAGTCTATATCTGGGTACAGGGAGACACCAGTCTATATCTGGGTACAGGGAGACACCAGTCTTGGTACAGGGAGACACCAGTCTATATCTGGGTACAGGGAGACACCAGTCTGGGTACAGGGAGACACCAGTCTACATCTGGGTACAGGGAGACACCAGTCTACATCTGGGTACAGGGAGACACCAGTCTTGGTACAGGGAGACACCAGTCTGGATACAGGGAGACACCAGTCTATATCTGGGTACAGGGAGACACCAGTCTGGATACAGGGAGACACCAGTCTACATCTGGGTACAGGGAGACACCAGTCTACATCTGGGTACAGGGAGACACCAGTCTGGGTACAGGGAGACACCAGTCTATATCTGGGTACAGGGAGACACCAGTCTGGATACAGGGAGACACCAGTCTACATCTGGGTACAGGGAGACACCAGTCTGGATACAGGGAGACACCAGTCTACATCTGGGTACAGGGAGACACCAGTCTACATCTGGGTACAGGGAGACACCAGTCTATATCTGGGTACAGGGAGACACCAGTCTACATCTGGGTACAGGGAGACACCAGTCTATATCTGGGTACAGGGAGACACCAGTCTATATCTGGGTACAGGGAGACACCAGTCTATATCTGGGTACAGGGAGACACCAGTCTATATCTGGGTACAGGGAGACACCAGTCTGGGTACAGGGAGACACCAGTCTATATCTGGGTACAGGGAGACACCAGTCTATATCTGGGTACAGGGAGACACCAGTCTATATCTGGGTACAGGGAGACACCAGTCTATATCTGGGTACAGGGAGACACCAGTCTGGGTACAGGGAGACACCAGTCTACATCTGGGTACAGGGAGACACCAGTCTATATCTGGGTACAGGGAGACACCAGTCTGGATACAGGGAGACACCAGTCTATATCTGGGTACAGGGAGACACCAGTCTGGATACAGGGAGACACCAGTCTACATCTGGGTACAGGGAGACACCAGTCTACATCTGGGTACAGGGAGACACCAGTCTGGATACAGGGAGACACCAGTCTATATCTGGGTACAGG